AAGACATTAACAGGCATTTCTCCAAAGATGACATACAAATAGCCAACAGATACATGAAAAGATGCTAAGCATCAGTAATCCGGGAAATGCAAATCAAAACCACAATGGGATATGGCCTCACACCTGTCAGAATGGCTAAAATCAAAAACACAAGAAACAACAAATGTTGGCAAGGATGTAGAAAAAAAGGAACCTTCATGCACTGTTGGTCAGAATGCAAACTTGTGCAGCCACTGTGGAAAACAGTATGGGGGTTCCTCAAAAATTAAAAACCGAATTACCATATGAACTACTGGGTATTTACCCAAAGAATAGGAAACACTAATTTGAAAAGATATATGCACCCCTATGTTTATTACAGCATTATTTACAAGAGCCAAATTGCAGAAGCAGCCCAAGTGTCCCATCAATAGACAAATGGATAAAGAAGATGGGGTGTGTGTGTGTGATATTGAATATTACTCAGCTATAAAAAAGAATGAAATCTTGCCATTTGCAACAACATGGATGGAGCTATAGAGACTATAATGCTCAGTGAAATAAGTCAGAAAAAGAGGAATACCATATGATTTCACTCATGCAGAATTTAAGAAACAAAACAAGTGAACAAAGAAAAAAAAAGAGACAAATCAAAAAACAGACTCTTAACTATAGAGAACAAACTGATGGTTACCAGAGGGGAGGTAGATGGGGGGTGAAGTAGATGAAGGGGATTAAGAGTACACTTATTATTAGGAGCACTGAGTAATGTATAGAATGCTGAATCACTACATTAAACACCCAAAACTAATATAACATTGTATGTTAATTATACTGGAATTTAAAAATAAGTCAATAAAAAATTTTAAAAACATCATAATTAATCATTTTTTTCCTGAACTTTCTACCAGTCAAGCTGAAATTTAAAAAAAAGAAATGATGTAATTCTCATTATAAAACATCGCAATATAAAATATCAGTGTAAAACAACTTTTATTTCTGGGAACAAATTATAAAGAGGATTTATTCTTCTTTAATGAGATATAATTGACATATAACATTGTATTAGTTTTAGGTGTACAACATAATGGCTTGATATGTGCATACTGCAAAATGATTACCGCACCAAATTTAGTTAACATCTGTCACCTCACATAGTTCTATTTTTTTTTTTCCTGTGATGAGAACTTATAAGATCTCTCTTAGCAACTTAAAAATAAAGTGCTGTTAACTATAGTTAACATGCTATACATTACATCCACAGAATTTACTGATCTTATAACTGGAAATTTGTACCTTTTGACTCCTTCCTTCCTCCCTTCCCCCCACCCTTTCGTTCTTTCTAGAACCCTAATCAAGATATAATGCTACAATTCTCAAGCTTTGGAGTACATGCCCCTAGGAATGTGTTGATATGCCAAGGGTGTACCTAAAGCCACAGAGGACTAAGAGCAATTGGGGTAAATGACTTAACAATTTGGGGTGAAATTCACCTATGTTTATATTAGTATAAACATGTCTTATCAAACAGGAGCAAAATTTTCACTTGCCTTCATAATAAAAACATGTCTAGAAATGTTCTCTTCTAGATAGCCTACACCCCAAGGCTATACTCCTCTGCTAGTGGAGTCCTTTTGCAGAATTTTCTGATATTCTGACATAATGACAGTATCATAATAACAGTTTTAGAGAAAATACCAACATATATATATGTCCCTAAAAATCCAGGGCAGAACATTAAAACATGATTCATAAAGGTGCATCTTCCCAGAACCAAAACAGGGAAGCTTGTTTTTGGCCAAGCTGCCTGTGGTCTAACTCTTAAGGAAGCAAGTTAATCTCAAAATGTGGTCCTCAGAGCACTTGCATCAGAAAACCCTGGGAATGCTTATTAAGATGAAAATTTAGGGTTGCCTGGGTGGCTCAGTCAGTTAAGTGTCCAACTCTTGATTTCATGGTCTCATGGTTGTAAGATTGAGCCCTGTGTATGTGGAACTAGTACTCCACACTGAGTATGGAGCCTACTTGGGATTCTCTCTCTCCCTCTCCTCTGCCCCTCCCCCTCTTGGGCTCGCTCTCTCTCTCTCTCAAAATAATAAACATTGTGTGTGTGTGTGTGTGTGTGTGTGTGTGTGTCTGTGTGTGTGTGTATTCATTCATGCCCCAAAGGATGATCACCTCTGGAGCAGAGGCCCAGGAATCTTCATAGGAACTTATTAGAGAATTGATACATAAACACACTAAAAGTTGAAAACAACTTAAAATGGTTGGAGGGATGGAATTAAATTTCCCTAGTCCAGCTTTTCTGTATCTTGCTTTTCTCAGCTGGCCTTTTTGCAACAGCATGGTGCAGCTAAACCCCTAACAATTTAGAGCTGAGTGAAGGGAGAACCAGAACCATATATTTTGAATACCAAGACTCTACGTGGAAACTTTATTATTCTACTGGAGACCCTGAGAGCCAGACATACAGCCTCACTCAGCTGGAGAAGCAGTAACATTCACCTGAGAAGGATTATCAGGGTCACCAAAAAGAAGGTCAAACAAAGAGGGTCTAATACTCCCTTTTAATCTGCTCAAGTGCCTGAACAAATATTTGAATGGGGACCACACCTCAGACCATCTTTTCCTTTCACAAAAATCAAATTCCCCAGGTTGTTAAGAGATAGCATACTAAAATATGGTTCTATAGTCTATCTGACTTCCTCAGAACAGATTTTCTCAGTCTTTAATTTATTAATTGGCAGAGTTTTGAAGAGGAAGGTAAAAATGCAAATATCTTTTTCTTGAACTTACTGGACCAGAGACTCTGTGTTGGCCAGAATCTTCTAAGACCAAGTTTCTGTATCCCAAAGATACTCAAAATAGGATTCAGGAATCAACAAGGATCCACATCAGCATCCCCCAGGAGCTTGTCAGAAATGCAGAATCTCAAGCCCCTATCCCAGCACTACTGAAACAGAGTCTGAAGCTTAACAAAATCCTCAGCAGATCTGTATGTACATCAGAGTCTGAGAAGCAAGGCTAGAGAACACATTTGGAGAACCAGTGCCAAAGACAATGACAGAAATGGTTGTAACCTGGAAAACTTTAAGAATCAGTCTTACAGTTCACTCACCTTGGCTTCCGAAAAACTCTGGTATTACTTCCAAAGAACATCTGCTCTGGCGCAGGGAATTTTCACTACAAAAACTACATCTGAAGGCTATATGTAAAGCAAATCCTTCTACAATTGAGAAAAGCCAAGATTTATGCTATGGATTGTATCTTTCTTGGCCTATGGACAGTTTTGATTTGCATCAAACCTGCCTCATGCAGATAAGAGATGCTGAAAGAATTAGAACTTTGTCTGCCATCTGAATCTACTCCTCTGGAGAGAAATAGCCCATTTCCCAGCTGCAGCTGGGAACATATCATCCCATTTTAGCTGACAGATTATCAGAGATTTTCCAAATTACTATTCCCAAGCCACTCTGAGTCCCAAGCACATACTCTGAATCAGGTGCGTGTGAAATACAAACAGGGCTTGAATTGGAAAGAAAAAGCTGAAGCTCAAGCCTTAACAAGCAAAATGCACATGTTAATAAAACCCATGCACGGCTTCAAGTCCATGTAAGGTACGGATCAACCAGCAATAGCAAGGTTCCCATCGGAATCTTCCCAGCATACAGTCATGACTCATGCCCAGAGCCATCTTGTCCTTGTAAGAATAGCATAAATCATCATCCAATATTAAAAATGATGCCAAAAGTGCATTTTATTCAAATGCATTCCTTAAAATAATTGCTGAGAAAATAATGCAAGAGTGTTCAACTGACAACTCTTTAGCGTTCACATCTGGAGGGAAAAATATGTCATGGAGTAGTTAAGTGGATTTTAGAGATGCTGGAAATTCCTAAACCCACAAAAGTCCAAGTACATGAGTTTGTTTTATTCTTTTGAAGAGGAAACTTCTATGCCTTAGTCACACCTACAAACAGTACAAAGAGGTCTCCTACATTTTGTAATGCAAACCTTTCCTTTCCTTTTCTTCTTGTCTTTCTTCTTTCATATTTTAGCCAACAGCATCAGAAAAAAAAGTATTTGTCATGGATTCCTATAAGCTCTCTCCCTTCCCTCTCTCACACATTCTTTCCACCAACATTCACACAAGCTCAGAAGTCTTTCACAATTATAATAAACCATCTTTGACTCTTGTTCCTCCTGCTACCCCTCTCTTAGGCTATTCTAATTAAGTGTACATTTACTACTCCACTCCTCACCTTCTATATGGTATGAATACCCCCAGAAACAGCCTCTCAGACAGGGATTCAAGGGTGTGATCCTAGAAAAACTGATAGGGGAGTAGAAAAGTATGAGGAAGGGCAGAAAGTTCATAGAGGGGATATTATCCAACCAGTCACCACGGGGGCAACTTAAGGTAAGTCCCCCTGGGGGTCTCTGAGAGATAGCATAGAGTTATCTCAATAGAAAGGCAAAGGACTAGGGTATTTAGGTATCAAACTTTTTTCTGTCATTGTTTGATGTCTGTTTCTGGGGACTTTAACTCTGTCATTTTGGCTTGCTCTGTGCTTAGGCTAAGGGTGCTCTTTAGCCAAAATGATGAATGAATGAATAAATGAATGAAAGAATGAAAGGCCTCAAGCAAAGCAACCTTTGGAATATAGAAGTGACTACCAAAGGGATATAGGCAGGCTATCAATACCCGCTATACCTCTGTTCATTTATCCACTCAAGCCCCTGTAAGAGCTTTAACAAGGTATCAGTGTGGCTAAAGTGCTTAGACTAATTTCAGAAATTATACTACTTGTTAGTCAGTAAAGACTATCAGCCACTGCTTCCTTCTTGAAGCTCCAGGACAACACATCTTTCTGAGTGTTCTCCTTTCTCTCCTGCCACTCTTTTTAATTCTTTCTGATCTATCTTCTTCCACCTAAACTTAAAATGTTAGGACCCTTTCCTTTCCTCTTCTCATCTTTCTCTTGCTGAGTAAGTATATCTGTCCCTATGGCTTCACTTACCATTTATATCACAACAACTTACAAACTTGTATCTCTGGTAGCTCAGACCTCCTGACCAATGATGTTGATATCTGACATCTCAAAATTGCTTCAAATTAGGCACCAGACTTCATCTTCCATCCCTCTTTTCCCCTAGAAGGAAAAAAAATGTTCCTCATCTACTGTTTTCTATCTCTGTGAATAATACCACCTTCTACTCAGTTGGGCAAGCTGGGAAACTAGCAGTCAGCCTTGACACATGCCTATCTCCTGCCTCTGCAATCTTCATTTAATTATTGGACTTTATCCACTTGATCCGACCAGTAATTTATTCCTTAAATCCATCCACTCCTGTCCAATTCCTGGTCCATCCTTACCTCTTAATATAGCATCCAACTGGTTTCCTCAGATCTGTTCTTCACCATACAGCTTGAGGGAGCTTTTAACAATGCAACTTTGATTGTGTCACTGCCCATGGGATCTGGCTCTTGTCTGCTTCACCTGTCCCATCCAATACTACTTTCTACCTAGCTTTCTTTCCTGTTCCACCTATGCTTATCTCATTTCTGTTTTGATATCTTATCTCTCTTTTTGCCTCTGACACTGGAATCTTAATAACTCTTGTTCCCTTGACCTTAAAGCCACTTCTCCCAGTATGTCTTTCCATTAACTAACTTCTACTCATCCTTCAAATAGAAGCTTAAACACAACTGCCTCAAAGAATCCTCTCATGCTTTTCCTGATTCCTCCAAGAAAAGAGTTGGTTCCCTTAGTATTCCATTGTTTAGAAAATCTCACTGAAGCTCTTAATTCTTATAATCATAATTAAATATTTGTGTAATGTGTGTTGCCTGTCTCAGTGTAAGCTCCCTGAGAACAGGTAATGTGCCAATTTAATTCACAGCTAAATACCAAGCACCCACAATAATGCCTGGCATGTAAGATTATGGCCATTACTCAAATAAGTTTTTACTAAGACTACTGACAATTCCAAAAATCTGACTAAGTTTAGCTTGGGTTACATTTTCTCTTTGGTTTTATATTCTACACCCCTGTTTCCACTTACAGGATGTTGAACATCATTGTAAAAATAATCGAAAGGTATCTATATTAGTTTGCTAGGGCTACTATGACAAAGTACACAAACTAGGTGGCTTAAACAACAGAAATGTGCTGCCTCACAGTACTGGAAGCTAGAAATCTGAAATCAGGGTGTTAATAGGGTCAGGTTCTTCTGAGGGCTGTGAGGAAAGGATCTGTTCCAAGTCTCTCTCCTTGGCTTGTAGATGACCATTTTCACATTTACACAGCATCTCACTATATGTATCTCTGTGTCCAAATTCCGCCTTTTTATAAGGACATCAGTCATAATGAATTGGGGCCCACCCCAATGACCTCATCTTAGCTAATTACATCTGCAATGATCTTATTTCAAAATAAGATCACATTCTGAGGTCCTAAGGGTTAGGACTTCAACATATGAATATGAGGAGGGGGGAAGCACACAATTTAACCCATGACAATATCCAAGGATTTTAAGCAGGGGAGATAAACATTTAGATTCACATTACTGAAAAGTCATGTTCGCTACAGACAGCATGAAGAAAAGATTGGAGGGGGCAAGACTGAGGCCTGGAAAGGCTAAGGGCCTATTATAATGCTTCCAGCAATGCCTATCAGCCTAGTTTCTTTATTAGCATTACCCAGAGTCAAAACTCTGCTCCAATGAGTGGCAGCAGTATGACTTTCACTACACTGGGGTCAGTTTTCTTATCTGTGAAATGACTATAATTTTAGCATCACATAGTTTATAAAGCTGAAGGAAAGAACCAAAATTAAATTGGCCTGTGACCTGACTTAGAAACCTGTATTTCCCCCCAGTTTCCCCCAAGTTTTCAGCATAACACTCAAAAAAAGTTCAAGTTTTTAAGACAAAATCAGCCATTGAGATGACTTGTGATTTAATTTGCTTATATGATTATCTTTTGTGTCAAAGAAGAAACATGTAGGTATTATTCTAACATTTCAGTTTTCCATTAATATGTGGGCATATTATAGGACTATCTAATAGAAAAGTGGACCTTAGATCTTTATAAAGATAAGAAGTATTAGAATTAAATCCAAAGACTCATCACATTTAAAACATCTTCTTCTCTACCTCTGTTGCACTCTAATTCATTCCTTTCTTTCTTTTCATTTCCAATACATACCCTAATTCCCACCCATATTTTTATCACTACAAATAATGCAACTCTGGTCCTTGTCCCTAGAGAAGAATTGTCCAACTTATTTTTTCCCTCCCAGTCCTTGGCAAGTCTGCTGGGTGACCCACTCGGACACCTCAGAGGGTGGTGCCTCCCACCCCCTCAAGCCACAAGCAACAAAGCCTTAGTCATTTCATGCTCTTGGCTTTGTCATCATTTTGATTTTTTTTACATTACTTTGTCATTAACTCATCTCACTTATGTAAAGAGAACAAGCCAGAGATAGTTAAAGATGTCTCTGGTGTTCTCAAACCAACCAACCAATCAACCAACCAACCAACCAACCAACCAACCAAACAAACAAACAAACAGATAGCATTTCTATTGCCCAATGTCCAGAAAACAATGTCTTGCCAAGACAGAATTTTGAATCACAGGACAATGTAATTTATTCATTCCATGAACTGCACTATGCAGCAAGCCAAATTCAGGCCATTCTTTTGAACAACATTTTAATAATTTTAAGGGTCAACTATCATTCTACCTTCCAAAAAGCAAAGGAAAATGGGACTGTCTTATGTAGGAAGGAGACATAATCTGAAGTTACTGGGATGACACACATATGCTAACATTAGGTGTTAGGATCTTTTTCATTTTCTGTAAGGCTAATTCATCACCTCTGTCTCCCTTAGAGATGTACATTTTGTAAGATATGAATGTGGGATACAATTTTTGCGTGTAAGAGAAGGCTAATTTATGTTTTCCTTGTTTAATAGAATTTGAAGATAAAAGTGATAAATAGAAAAGCTACATTGTAGGGGAACCTGGGTGGATCAGTTGGCTGAGTGTCTGACTCTTGATTTCGGCTCAGGTAATGATCTCATGTTTTGTGGGATTGAGACCTATGTCAGGCTCAGTGCTGATAACACAGAACCTGCTTGAGATTCTCTCTCTCCCTCTCTCTCTGCCCCTCCCTGACCACTCTCTTTCTCTCTCAAAATAAATAAAACAACAACAAAAAAAGAAAAGCTATATCATAGCTACCTGTTTTGTTAAGAGGAAAATAAATACCATCTTACAATTCCATCAGAAAGTGGGAAAAGATTGATTCACCATTTTGAGGAACAAAAGAAATTTTCATTTGAAGGGAAAGAGAATAAGGATGTCCACCCAAACATTTCTCAATCTTAAATGTGTTTCCAGTTAATAAACAAACAAACAAACAAAACCCTAGGATCTTATGTGAGCAACGGTAACATTGTACCGATAAAAGTGCTATCAAGAGCAGTCCATGTAAAGAGCCCTGGTGGGAAAAATTAACTCCTGGGTCTGTAAAATCCCATAGAACTAGATGAAATAGCCATGGGTACAGTTTGAATTAAGGCTTTTACTGTTCTTGTCATTGTTCTTCTGATTCTTTCACATTGTGACATGGCCAAAGCTTGTGGAATAAAAACTAAACCCAGACAGTATCTTCTGTGAATCCCCACCCTTCCCATGCATGATTATTAAGTTGGAATGATTAAAAATGTCAACTAAGTACCCCAAGAAATTTTAACTAAAATATTTAAATCACAGATCTCTACAGACCCAGTGTTTGGAGAAACTAAAATTAGTTTACTTCCAGTGAACTATTCTTTATAGTAGCTATTCTCTCTCAATTCTCATTATCATTCTATTCTATACTACCCTAATTTGCAGACAATGTCTTTGGGTTTCAGAAAAGCCCAAGTTTGTATGTGATCCCATTAGCCCTCTGAGTCATTTTGTACTGAATTTACTCCTACCTGTTCCCCACTAAGGAAACCTTCAGTAGGTTGCAGTGAATGGCTTTTATACCCATCAGTGAGTCATCACACAGGCAACTGACCAAGAATTCAATCTGGGTGGATAGAGGACTCTAGCTATACAGAATAATATAGACTTCTGAAAATAACCAATTTACTTTCTTGTGTTTGGAGAAGTCCATAAACTATTGTAATAGTTTATGAGGACTTGAGCTGGACATATGCAACCAAGACATATACTAATTTTAACAATAATTTACTGAGCCTTTGAGTGGATAATGTTGTTATCCCCGCCAATGCCCTTTACCGGACTGGTACACCTGCCTTCAGCTGCTGCAGTTGTTGGTTGCTAATGGCTCACAACTGCCCCCTTTTCCAGATGATTTCTCTTGGCAAAATAGCAGCTATTTACCCAGGAGGCTACATCCTAGTCCCACCCCAGGGGCAGGCCATGCTAGTGACTGGTTTACATGAAGAATGCAAAAGGTTAGCCAGTAATATCAAGGTAGGAACAACTACATGATGTAATTCATACTACAGAGCTCTCCACTGGATCAAGCTAAAGGCAGAGTCCAATAGAAACTATGAAACTATGTCCTGGCTTACTTAGCACTTTCTCCTACCTAACTTGTTTCCTTCACTCCCTCCCCTTTCTCTTAAGACTACTCCAGTAAGTCATGTGAGCCTGAATCCCTTTTTCAGACTTTGCTTCTAAAGAGGACCTAAGTCAAGCCACAGTTCTATATGTATTACGGATACATTGCTTTCATATATTTATTTCATTTAATTTGCAGGATGGTCCATATAATGGAGACCAGGCTTTACCCCAGGTTTTTTTTCTGGCTCCTAAAAATAGTCAACTTTTATTATGCTAAACTGCTGCCTTAGACATTTATAGTAACAACTTCATCATATATCACCAATAAAATTAATAATGTAGTTACAAACTTCAGAATTTGAATGAATGTGTCTTCTCCATGTTAACATGTCCAACAATGAACAGATGTTTCATAGTGTTTCCTTGACATAAAGTGATATTTTTCCATTAGGGTAAAAGGAGAAGGAAAAAGAACAGAGAAGGAAAAGAAATGAAAAAACGAAGAAACAACAAAGGAGGGAGGAAGGAAGGAATGAAGGAAAGGAGAAAGAGAAAAGGAGGTAA